TAAACTTTTCCTTTTCTTAACCCCTCAAATTCTAGATCCACTGTATTTATAAGAGATCCTACCAAACTTTCAAGAAACAAATAATTTTTACTTTGTGTAGTTGTTCCAAAAATGATAAAAATAGCAAAATATTTTTACCACTCCTAGTGTGACTATTGTAATCTTTATTTTAATATACAAAAAGAGCTTCACATTTAGAAAATCTACTAATGTAATTTACCATGTTAATAAACTAAAAGGAATCCATCATGTAATTTTGTAGAAAAGGCACTTGCTAAGTTCAACACTGTGATGAAAATGAAAAAACCTCAGTACATTAGAGACAGGATTTCATAAATTTAAAGATGGTTCAGACATTAAAACCCTATATACGTATAATAGTAATGGAGAAATTTTGGCTGCATTCATAATAAATAGGAATCTAGCATGTATGTCTGTGTAATTGCTACTGTTTAACACAAGTGTCCCCAGATTAACCAGTAAAATCAGAGCAAAATCAATCCAAATTTCAGCTGGAATATGAAAGAATAAATGTGTGTTAATCAGTAAGTACATTTTGGGAAAAGAATGGGGACTTTCCAACTCAATATTAAGATCCACTATCGGGGTGCCTGGGTGGCTCAGTGGGTTAAAGCCTCTACCTTCGGCTCAGGTCATGATCCCGGGGTCCTGGGATCGAGCCCCGCATTGGGCTCTCTGCTCAGCGGGGAGCCTGCTTCCTCCTCTCTCCCTTTGCCTACTTGTGATCTCTGTCTGTCAAATAAATAAATAAAAATCTTAAAAAAAAAGATCCACTATCAAACCATACCGTAATATCAATAAATGCAGTATGATAAGGACACAAGAAGAGACATAATGGAATAAACCAACGTGATAAAATTAAATCTTAGAGACAGACTCAAGTTTAAATGGCAATTTGAAACATTGTACATGTATGGGGCGCCTGGGTGGCTCTGTGGGTTAAAGCCTCTGCCTTCGGCTCAGGTCATGATCTCAGGGTCCTGGGATCGAGCCCCACATCAGGCTCTCTGCTCAGCAAGGAACCTGCTTCCCTTCCTCTCTCTCTGCCTGCCTCTCTGCCTACTTGTGATCTCTGTCTGTCAAATAAATAAATAAATAATCTTTAAAAAATTGTACATGTGGTACCAGAAGTCAAAGGGGGTATCTCTTACTGTGTATCTCTGAGATCATTTCATCTCAAGTCAGAAAATTCTGACAAAAAAACTCAGTGAGGGAAAGTCTTTGCCAGTGTTGTTCAAAAGCTGACTCATGACACGAAGAGAGGAAAGAGAGAAAAGAAACCCTGGGTCATTCCATCCACAAAAAGATGCAGATATACTAAAGATCCAAGTATGAAAGATAAAACTAACGCTGATGGAAGAAGAGAATACCTTTGTAACTTGGGGATGTAAAGGACTTCTTAAATAGATGTCCCCCCCAAATTTAAAAAAATAAATTTTTATTATATTAGAATTATCTCTTTTTTTTTTCCCCTCAAGGAAGAACACCAGTTGACAGTAAAATGGCAGTGATCTATTAGGATAGATAGGTTAGTGTCTGAGAAAGGCCCAGTGCTAATATCTGGACTACACAAATTATTCCTGCAAGTCAGCATGGAGAAACAGGAATCCCAATAGAAACATAGGCAAAGGATATAATGAACTATTCACAGCATGGGAAATCTCAGTGGCATTAATCTTTAAAGAGATGCTCAAACCCAGTTGTCATAAGAAAAATGCAAAGCACAAACAACAAGGGCATACCTCTTCAAACTGATCGGATTGGCAAAAAATCAGACATTTGGAAAAATGCCAGGTATTGGGGATCCCCATCAACAGGAACTATTTGGCCTTTTTGATAAGGGTGTGGACTAGTACAAGCCATTCTAACGGGCAATCTGATAGTAGTTTGTGCAGTTAAGAATGCATGTTCCCTATGATTCAGGATCCCAACCTTCTATCCAAGACAAATTCTCACACAGGTCTCTAAGGGAAAAAGTATGAAGGTGTTTATTGCAGAATTGTTTGGGATGGAGAGCGTTAGAAGCAGCCTAGGGGAACATTGGAGTCAAATGTGGTAGATACACACTGAAGAGACTCTACCTGGTTAGGAAAGCAAAGAACTAGATGTACATTCATAACATGGTTCTATCCTAAGAATATGGTGAAAGAAAAAATTAGGAAATATGAAATCTATAGTACATCTACATTCTATAGTAAAACTATACTACAACATCACTCACATCCATGGAAAGTACAAACATGCACTAGTATTTCCAGGCATTTTAAAAATCCAAGGCTGAGTATTAAAAGTTTTAGGGATATCACCTCTGGGAGGAGGGAATGGAGGTAGGGAATGAAGATAAAAGAGAATGAATAAATAAACCAAGAAAGGATCTTGTAGGTTTTGATTACGTGCTATGAAATCATGGCTTATGATTAACTCGATCCTCCACAAATGAGGTTAAATGAGATTGCTTGATAACCTGCAGTAGTTGGGAAATCTTCACCTTCCAAATCAGTGAAGGTCAGCTCTAAGTGTACCAGCTACACCACTTGCAACATGGTGCCAGTCTGTGTGGCCATTCACAATACCTCAGTGTCCTGCAGGTTTGCATTCTCCGATGCTCCTTCTAGATTTGTACTGGGGTCTGGTGCAATTTTCTTAGCACTCGGTACAGCCCTCACTAGTAAGACCAACACATTATATTCCATCTAATTAGACAAAAAGATAATTTAAACAATGTCTACAAAATTTCTATCACAAGCAATGGGAGTTTTTATCTTACTGCGTAGAGAAACTTTCCCTTTTTGCTGGAATAATTTAAAATAAAATTATCAGTGTTTTTCTCTGGGGTATCTGAAAATCAAGTGTGTTCTGCTCCCAACCCAGGTCTGGGGCATTTTTATGTGAGATTGGATAAATAATTCCATTTTTTGCTGGTGTGAGGAGAAAAGAGATGTGCTATTATTTTTGCTGTTCCAAAAATCACTCTTGTTTTATATCTCAAAGAGGAAGAAAAGAATATTTAAGAGCCAGTGTCTTGGAATTGGGCGAAATGTAGTTCAATTTTGGACTACTTATTTAAACTACGTGGGTCTCACTTTCCTTATCTGTGAAGGGGTGCATCGGGCATGGTGCTGTTGAGCAGAATAAATGAAATCATGTGCGTGGAGAGGTTGGCGCGGCACCCAGCATACAGTGTGCATGTAAATAAGTAGCTGTCATTGTTTGCCTTTATTTACTGCATGAGCTTAGAGAGCAGGTGCTGTCCTGTCCATTGTTCTCAGTATGACAGCGATAGCATGGGATGAACGGTGCTTGTCAGGCAGTCCTGGGGCTCAAGGAAACTATTTCAGGTCTGCTACACTAAAAAAACAAAAATGAAAAACTACTGGAGTTAGTTAAAGGATACAATTTCTCCTGAGGGTGGAGGTCAGGGTTTGCTCTTCTGTGTTCAACAGCATGGATCTTCCAATTACCACAGGACATATGAATCAAGACACTCAAGGACTCCTTTTAGACAGAAATTAGACTTAGTTATGTTATTAGACTTAGTTATTCTTAGCAGTCAATAGAAAGCCCGGCACATCATAGAGGCTCAAGGAATCCTACACAATAATCCTTAAAAATCCCTATTTTAAAGATTAAGAAACTGAGGCATGGATTTGACCAAAGCTACACAGCTCATCAGTGGTGAAACTGGGAGTTAGTCCATTTGTTTTGAATCTCAACTATGAGAATATTTTCCCCCCCTTTGGCGATGCTTGGTTACTCCATCAGAGAATTGTGGGAGGGGAAGGGGTGGATTTCGAGCAACCTCCATTATTGGCTTGTTTTCTGTCCTGGGTAAATATTAGGCAGGCCCTCAAGGCTTTGATGCCTTGATGCCCCAGATTTTTTCACATTTTTTTCTGAACTTCTGACTTTGCAGTGTCCTCCCCCTACACTCGCCCCCACCCACCCTACTCTCCCCACCCTCCCCATTGTCTACTGGCAATGAATGCCTCATCTCAGATTCCTGGTCTGAAAATACAGGAGGGAAGGACATCTTCCTACCTGTTTGAAGGAGTCCCCTCTTCCGTACCCACCAGCTCAGTCCTTGCCTCTCTCCGCTTCATTTTCTTCCAAAAGCTTAGCTTTGACTAAATTTATTAATTTATTTTCTGTCTCGCACACAGAACAGCAGGCTGGCCAGGTAGGCAATATCCTCTACTTCATTCACTGCTTGCTTCTCGGCGCCTGGAACACTGCCTGGCCCACAGGAGAGGTCTTCAGTGATTACTGGTTGTCCCATCCTTTTAAACGGTAACTTCTATTTATTGATTGTTCAGCTATATGGCAAGAACTGTACTAAATGTTCAATGCATGACCTCATTCTTATTCATATTCTCCCAAGTTCCTGGCAAGGTGGCTCTACCTTTGTCTCTTCTACACTCTCAGCAGTTGTGTAAACAGCTCGAGGACGTGTCAGTGCACTGCAACCCAGCTGGTGCTCTTCTTACCTTTGCTTTTTATTGCTGTGCTCAGCGTTCACAATGCTACCTCTATGTAGCTTTCTGAAGTCAAAGCACAGAAAGGTAGTTGGCTTAACGGTTAATAGAAAGGACCCTGCCCCTGACCCCTGATCGAAATCTAAATCCAGATTCTAAATCTAGATTTATCTAAATCTAGATAAATCCAGAAATCTAAATCTAGATTCCAGCTCTGCTCCCATGGGGAGGTGGGTGGGGGAAGAAAGGATGATTTCTTAAAATTTTTTATCAGCAGATCTCAGGGTTATTTGCACTGCAGAGAAACCGCTTCCCGTGCTCTTGAGTCCAGGACTTGCCAACCCTGCTTAATCCCCAGTGCACACGTAGCCCCAGGCTCCAGTCAGGGGCTTCAGCCAAGTCCAGCCTGCAGGCGTTAGCCACACCTTCCCCTTGGTAGGGGCCGCTGGGTCACCTGGAGTCTACTGCGTCAGGACAACGCCTACCGGGGGCCGGGGCGTTACTGTGGCCTGTACTCTCAGGGGACAACCTTGGAATCTGTCCTCCCCTCCCAACTCCAGGTTAAAAACCTCAGCAGCACGTGCTGTTTGCAAAACTGCCTGCCACCGACCAGAGATCTCACTCACAAGGGGAGCCAGCATGTCAGCTGTGGTCCTGGAGAATGGAAGCCCTGGCAGGAAACTCTCTGAGGGACAGGTGAGCCAGAGTTGGCCTGGCTGCACGCTGCCCAGCGCTCAGGCAGGGGAATTTGGTCCCTAGAGGTAAAAGGTTGGAGGAATGTTGATGTTTCCTACTCCCTTAAACTCATGGAGAAATCTGAACTTATTTGAAGGTGATGAAAATGTCCGGGAAGGCAACAGGTAACACAGGTCCTCAACAGCTCTTCCCTCGGGAGGGACATCTGTCCTATGCAGCTTTCAGGGAAAGAGTGCTGTTTAGGGGTCGGGGCTTTCAGAGCTGCCCCCAATCAGCTGTGTGTCTTTGGACAAGTCACTGTCCCTCTCTGTTGCCTGCTTTCTCTTTCCTAGCCTGAAGTGGCTGGTTTGTAATGATCTGGAATGGGAGATGGGATTCTTCTAGATCTGCTTTACTGTGATACATATGAAGTGCTCTCAGCCACCTATCAACATGGCAAAATTGTAAGAAATTTGAATCCTTTTTTTCACCATTGGGAGAAAGTGAGGCTTGAGGAAGTCTCAGACTTACTCAGACCTGGGGAAAGAGAAAATTAAACAGAGAGGAAAATGAACAAGGCTTAGCCCTGGACTGGGAATGTGAGAGAACGCTAGACGTGACTTGGGATGGGAATAATGCTCAGGGTGCATTCTGTTCGGGATTTATTGACTTTCTCTTGAGGTGAAAAATCACAGAATACATTCTTTAATTGACTTATCACACTCCTAGGCTCTAGGGTTCAGACTTAAAGCCCAGCCCTGGGAGATAACATGACTTTACAGACATGTGTCATCTGCAGGATTAGTGAGAGCCATCTGGAGAACAGACAAGCTGGAGAGGAGAGCATGGTTGATATTTTATTATAGCTAGAGAGACCACAGAACTTTGGACTGGCTTTTTTTTTTTTGAGTCCAGTGAGAAAATTTTCCTTTGAAAAAGGTTTGCAGTGCTTGGTAAACAGAACTTTGTGTTGAGGAGGGATAGTATGGGTGTCAGACAGATCCCAGAACAGATCCTGTCTCTGTCATCATTTAGTTCCAGTGCCATTGGCAATGGAGGAAGTGGGACAGCATTCTGGTTAGGGAGACATGGGAGCTTAAAGCTTTATTTCTAGAATAGTTAGAAGATTGAGAACCACAGATTGTTACTCTTGATGACTGGGGGTAGAGAGGAGGGTTTAGAGCAGGCCTGGTAATACCTTTGCATTGAAAGCAGGGTGTTAAACTTTGCAAAGCTTCAGGTTTGTCCATTTGAAAAATTGGAATAAAAATACCCATACCCTTGGGTTGGGATGTGAAGTCAATGAAATAGTGTCTGTAAAGCTCTTAGCACAGTTCCTGGAGCATAGTGTCTAGCCAGAACTTATTTGTTTGCTTGACAAAATGTGTCTGGAACACTGGCAAGAGAGACAAGCATGAGTCAAGCATAGTGCTTGGTACAGCTACACCATGGAGGGATGTTGGACATGGAGTGAGGAGGTGTGGGCTCTGTTTTTTTTGTTTACTGAAGTTGTGTAGTGGGGAAGTCACCTAACTAGGAGGAGGAAGCTCAGTTTGGTATCTGTAAAACTGGGGTGGTGGTGGGGAGGGTGGTTTGGACTAGAATAGTCTTTAGAATTCCTGACAGTCTGCAAAAAAGACTTGGTTTATGCCTTCTAGAATCTCCTGACCCAGATGAATAGCCCTGCTGGACGTTATTCTGATACAAGGCTGGAGAGCATGTGATAGGTTATGTGATCTACACATACAACAGGCATGACAACCCTGCAATAGATGTTTGGCTCATTCATTCACCCAGGAGACTTATTGTGCCCCTACTATGTGCCAGGCACAGCAGAGTTTCTGTGCTGGTAAAACCTATTCTAGTGGGTAAGAAAAACAATACAAAAACGAATGAGATGGACATGAATTTCATGTAGAGAAAAGAGCTGTGAAGAAAAATAGAATGGGGCAGTGGAATACAAGATGAGGGAAACTCAGAAATCAGAGCTCTAAATGGTGAAACCAGGGTTCAAACACAGATCTCACTTCCAACTCCCTGGGGCACCCCTCTCCCACACTGCCTCCTCCTGCAGAGACACCCTGGAATATAGAGCTATAGCGTGTCCATGAAAGGATGTCCACATCTTGGTTTTGGTTGTCTTCCACTGTGGACGTCTATGCATATAATCCCACATGCAAATAGAAACCTCCTACCATGGCTCCAAAAAACACTAAGATCAAAAGGAATACCTAGCTAAATTTTGTTCCTAATTTTCAAAAATGCTCTTTTCCAAAGATAACAGAGTATATTTATTAGACACAACCATAGGGAATGTATTTCTCCTATTAAATGGATTGCCCGATGATCCAAATTCTTTCTCTTGGGTGTTAGTAAAGTTCATTTTCCCTGCCCTATTTCTTCCGATCTAGTTTCTGAGTTACTTCTCTACCTTTACCCACCCTGGGTGTACATATTTCTAAGTCAACTCACATGCCTTTTGAAAGCAAATAAGGTATAGATTACGAGCCAATAAAACTATATTCTGGGAGAGATTTGCCCAAAGTCCCATACGGGATGAACATAGCAAAGCTGGAATCAGGATCCACCCAAGGCCACACCATATCACAAACATCCATGAGCTTCTATTCATTTAAGTCCCCTCAAGTTTTGGAAAAAGGGAGCTGTTGACTCAGTTGGTCTGTCATTAGGAGGCAGAATACGGATTGTGGAATTGTTGGAACCATGTTCAAATCCAAGCTCTGCTACTCATTAGCTGGGTGTCTTTGGACAGTTCACTGAACCTCTGTTCCTTCACTTGCAGAGTCTGTTCCTTCACTTGCAAAATAATAGCACCTACTTCATGGTGCTATTGTGAGGACTCCATGAACCGATTACATGTGAACTCTTGTTAACAGTGCTAGTTGCTGCCAATGATGGGATGTCTATTAACTATAAAAAGCACCAATATCGCTCCTGGCCTGTAGTGGGTATTCCTTCAATGGCAAGTCTTATTATTAATATGAATAACAATAAAAGTAGTACCTTATCATACGGTAAATGTGAGTTTGCAGACATATTTGGGAAAAGTCACAATTAAAAAAATATGCTGTGCATTTATCAGTGGTTTCAAAATCTTTTGTGGTTAAGAATCATCTGGGATCTTTTGAAGATGTGGGTTCCAAGAGCCTACCTCAGACACTCAAATTTAATAGGTTAGGGTGAAGCCTCGGAATCTGTTCTTGAACAAGGAATCCCCAGGTAATTTTGAAGTGGAGAAACAAGGAACACTCTTTGAAAATCTCTGATCTAGAAAGTGTATGGGGAGAAAGTGAAAGGGACAGGCATGGGTAAGAGTAGGCTGTTGAGAGAGGTATTGAATAACTGGTCTACAAGAAATAGGGAAAATAAGGGGGAGGAACTAGATGAACCCTAAAAACAGGGCCAGCTCTGCGAGTCAAGTCCTATGTGGGCATCAGAAGCCAAATAGAATGCATAGAACCTGAAGGGATTGTTCTCCTCAGCTGGGGAATACAGAGGTCTCCTGGCAGAAGTGAGACCCCAAGAGAGCTTTTGAGGCAGGCTAAGATATTTGAAAGGGGACGAGGCAGAGTGGTGCATGGCATTTGCTTTAATGAGAAGCTGAAAAGACAAGGGAGAAAACCCGTTTGCTGGCAAGGTGGTTCCTGTGGGCGGGCCTCTGGAGATGAGGTCTCAAGATACTCCTGTATATCAGAAAGAGATATTTTATCCTGCTGGCCATGGGAAGCCTTTGAAGAATTCTGAGTAGAAGGAGGACACAAGCAAAAGTCTCTTAGGGCCAGATCAATATAGATCACTAAAAGCTGGATTAGCATGGTAGCAGTAGGAACAAAAGGAGGACATAACCCCAAGGGTCATTTCTGGAGAAGGTCAGATTGGACTCGGACCTACAGGAGCAGGAAGGTGGTAGTGATTTCTGGTGGTGTCTGTTGAGGTCTATCTGGAATGTGTAACTTTTCTTGGAGGCCAACATAAGAGAATGTTGCCAATTGAACCAGAAATGGAAATCTTTCATCTTTTCGAGGAAACCAGAAAGGACTAAGGGCTTAACATTCTCTGGAAGGAAGAAGACTAACGTCAGAGACTCCTCTGCATATCTCTGGCAGGGTTTAAAAGAGGGAGAGGCAGGACGAAGTCCTGCAAGAAGAAGCTGTGAGTGGTGGAAATAGGCTGGGGTCAGATGATGTGAGGTCCTACCCTGGCTCCATTGCTGACTGTATAACTGTGGACAATTACTTACCTTCCCTAAGGCTTCATTTTATTGTCAATAAAAGCTGACACTTGGTGGATAGTAAAGCCTCCTAAATTGTATCAAAATTAAATGAGATAATCCAAATCAAGTGCTTATTATAATGCCTGGGATATTACAGGCTCTTAAGAAATGATAGATTAACTATACTGGAATTTTTTAAAAAGAAAAAGCTTTTTTTTCAAGAAAGAGAAAATCACGGTCCATTTAGGGATGTAGAATAGTTCAATCTTCGAGTCATGTGAAGTTCCATCTAATTACACCTGCTGATAATTTTGGTTCTTGCCCCCCACCTCTGTTTTGGGTGCGGTTCTGTGAAAATCTGAACTTTCTGAATGAGAAGAATTTCATCCTAGGGGCCATCAATTTTCATGCAAGGCTTATTATGCTGAGTCACTGGGAGAGCCGTCTAACACAGCCTTCTTACTGAGCTGATATAACATCTATTCCACTGATTTCATCAGCTTTCTTACAAGAGAGTAATTGTTCTGCATGGGTTTTTCTTCCTAGTTTTAGGTGTATACTGTTGATTTGTGGGCACGTACGGAGCTTTATATATTACTGTAAAACTTAACTATACAATTTTTAAAGTTTGCCGCAAACCCTGCAATACCAATCCTAATCCCACCTTAGTTTGCTGTCACATGCATGTAGAAAGTGCTAGATCCTTGTCATACTTTGCTTTGTAGTGTAGGATGTCCATCTTCCAATAGATTATTTGTATTACTTTTATGTACTTTGTGACTTTAATTGGATAACTTGGATCCCGGCATACAGAACAATGTTTCCTGAGTGTGATGCTTTCTTGAGATCTTTGCCAAAGGCCAAGAAGTAATTCTTGTGTATATATATTTCCTTCATTTTTATATGTAAACTGTTTTATCTTTTAAGTTTTTTTTCATTATGTGAATACTGCTTTGACAGAGCTTATGATTACCAAGATTTTCCAGATGAGGAAACTTAGAAGGTCAAGCTATCTGCCTAGACTGTTTGAGCTGGTAACTGGAAGACAGAGAATTTCAACCCAGGTCTTTGGTCTCAAACACCCATTTTTAGTACATTCCACACCATATTTTTCATTGTTTTCCTGAATACTTTTTGAACTGTATTATACTACCTCTAAGGATCTTTGTGTGGTTTATGTGTCTATTAAGCCAAATATTGAGCTCCTGAAGGATGGGGCATTGTCTTACTCACTTTTGGATCTCAGGGCCCTAATAGTGTCCAGCACTTGGCAGGTGCTCATTAAAAGGTCTTGAAGCTATAGGATGACTGGTGATGTCAGTAAATAATTAAAGGTTTCTAAAATTGAATACTGACCTAAGAACATTATTGAAAATATCACTTCCCTTGACTTCCTTATTTTCCATCAGAAATTATATATTTCTATGTAGAATATATGTAGCTTACTGTATTCTAAGCCTTGACTAGAAGAGAGAGTTCATGCCAGCCTCTTCCTTGGAGGTTTCATAGAAAAGCATTTTAACCAAGAACATTTCATCTTTTAGGAAACAAGCTATATTGAAGACAACTCCAGTCAAAATGGTGCCATATCACTGATCTTCTCACTCAAAGAAGAAGTTGGTGCCCTGGCCAAAGTCTTGCGCTTATTTGAGGTAATTTCCATGCCATTCCATTTCAATCTTGGGTAATGCATAGCAGACTTCTGGGCTGTTTTCTAATAAAATGCAGCAAGAGGAACATGGGATCCGGAACTGGAAGAATTCATTTTCAGCTCAGACGCTGGCATTAACCAACTGTGTGACTTTAGTGAAGCCTTCCATTCTATCTGGGCTGCTCTCTATTCATAATCGGAATCATTCAGAATCACTGGTTACATGCACAGAAAGCTGGCCCTGGTTTCAGACTTTTTTTTTTATCAAGCTCTCCCTGAATTAGTTACTATCTTCTCAGTGCTCCCAAAGCACTTTATTTTTAACTATAGTACTTATCTGCCTTGTTATATATATACATTTTCTGTCTGGGCCTGTTTTTTCAGGAAAGGAATCTTAGCTCAGTCAGCCTTATATCCTCTATAGACCAGTTTTATACATATTTAATGTTCAATTAAGAATGAAATTAAATTTAATAGAAGCAAAGCAAATTAAGCTTCATTCTTTTTGGTCCTGGATTTTAGGAAGGAATATCTTTGAACCAATTAATTTTTACCCCAAGTTCTTTAATAAAATTATATCTCATGGTGTGCCTGTGTAGCATAGTCGGTTAAGCATCTGACTCTTGGTTTTAGTTGGGGTCCTGATCTCAGGGTTGTGAGATGGCATCCCAGGTTGGGCTCAGGGCAGAGTCTGCTTGGGTTTCTCTCTCCTCCCTCTGATCTCTCCCCCACCTCCTGCTCATGCATGTTCTCTCTCTCCCTCTCTCTCTCAAATAAATAAATAAATCTTTTTAAAAAATTGTATCTGGTGACTGAATACATAAATCAATGGAGAAAAGACACATCTCCCATGCAGAAGAGTTCTAAATAATTTAAGTAGATATTCTATACTCAAAGAAGAGCATCACTCCCCACTCTTTAAGTATGGATGGCACAGCATGACTTTTTTCCAAACAGGATAGGATGGAAAGGGGGTGGAGACCCCAACAAACAGTAGTTCAGCCAGGCAATGAAGGTCAATATCAACAGTGATGACTCACGTAAGAAGATGAACCCTCAATATGACTTGATGAAAATGGTATTTTACCTTCATGGTCTTCCTCCCCTGAAACCATAATCCCAGTCTAGTTATGAGAAAAACAGCAGACAAGTTCCAATTAAGGGACATTCCACAAATTCCTTAAAATCCCATATTCCTTAAAACTATGACTATCAAGATCATCAAAAACAAGAAGTGTCTGAGGAATTGTCACAGTCAAGGGAAGAGCTTAAAGGGATATAACATCTAAATGTAATGTGGGTCTAGAATGGGATCCTAGTACAGAAAAAGGACATTAGATATGAACTAAAAAAAATTCAAGTATAGGATGGTCTTTATTTTCTGAAAATGCATCAATATTAGTGCATTAATTATAACCTATATTCCATACTAACATAAGATGTTAGTAATAGGGAAACTGGGTGCAGAGTATATGGAAATTTTTCATACTATCCTCTTAATTTCTCTGTAAATCTAAAATCTATTTAAAAAATAAAGTCTGTTTTTAAAAATGTTGAACTTGGCTTTCCAAAGGAGGTGGGGGTGGGTAGGGGAATGTTTGCCTGAATGAGAGCAAACAGTGAGCACAGAGAAGAGAGACAGAGGACTCTCTGAACAAGGAACTATTCAGAAGGAAGAATGTATCTGTAAGACGCTCCTATGAAACATCTTAGCCTTTGTATTATACAGTTAATCAGCATTTTCCCCTTGAGAGGTCAGGACTTAATCAGTTAATAAATTAAATAATAGTAAATTAACAGGATGTTTTCAACCTAATAAATAAACCACAAGTAACTAAATTACCAGGACTAGATAAAATGCACCCAGAGTGTGTGTGTGTGTGTGTGTGTGTGTGTGTGTGTGTGTGTATACTCTGGGTGAACATTTTTAAAAGCATTATTCAAAACTCAACTGCTCTGGTCAGTAAGTGGCATTTTTATACACATTCACAGAGGAGGAAACAGAGGTCACTGTATCAGGATTGGTGAAGGGTTTCTTGTTAGTGTGTGTTGCATTTTTTTCCAAATATATTTCAGAAGTTGCCCTAGACCTTGAATAGAACAGCATTCCTTCTACCCTTAACAGACTGGCAAAATACAGTTAAGTTACATTTATTCGAAGTGTTGAGGGATGATAGGAAATCGAATTCTAGTGTCTGCAGAACCATAGTACCTGATAAAGCAGGCACAGAGGATCCTTGATTTGGTCCCCATTCAACCTGGTGGAGGTGATATTACTATATTTTGTGTGAAGGAAGTGGTTCTGAAAGGCTGAGTCATTTGTTCAAGGTCACACAGCTAATGTATGCTGGTGAGGGAATTCTGAATTTGCCAGCCATGAGCTCTCTCTGGCACCCCACACCTCTGCCAGATACACTTGTCTCAGTACATCTGAATACTTCTGGAGTTTTGTTTTTTTTTTTTTTAAATACAAATGTCATGATCCCATCCTCCTATTCTTTGAGGGAAATGGATCTGTCACTAGGTACTCCATCTTTCCTTCAAATTGAAACATGTACCAAAGTTCAAGAAAAATAACTACCCATATTCCCGTCATCCACATCAGCCACTGTTAACAGTTCGACAAGTTCACTTTCATTTTCTTTCATGTACGATTATGGTTTCAAAAATTACAAATTAATGTACTGTTTCTTTAAAAAGAAACACAACTTTAAAGATGTTGCTGTAGTGCTTTCTGGTCTCCCTCAATCCTGTCATGCTGTGAACTTCCTGGCCAAGGCAGCCTTATTGTGAGTTTAGTTTATTTTTTCCTATATTTCAGTCCTTTAACACATAATAATGATATTGGCAAGTAGTGGGCTGTGCTTGCTGTTCTGCAGCCTCTGAGTGTCAGTTCAGTAGATCTGTCAAGAACACGGACTCTGGAGAGACAGATGTGGCTTTGGGAAAATCGTTGACTTCTCTGTACTTCAGTTCCTCTTAATAATAATCTCATCAGTTTCAAAGGGTAGTTCTTTTTTTTTTTTTAAGATTTTATTTATTTATTTGATAGATCACAAGCAGGCAGAGAGGCAGGCAGAGAGAGAGGAGGAAGCAGGCTCCCTGCTGAGCAGAGAGCCCGATGTGGGGCTCGATCCCGGGACTCCGAGATCATGACCTGAGCTCATGACCTGAGCCGAAGGCAGCGGCTTAACCCACTGAGCCACCCAGGCACCCGTCAAAGGGTAGTTCTGAGGATTAAATGACTTAATGCAGGTAAAACCCTCAGACTAGTTACACATGAGGTGTTCAGGAGGAATTGCTATGTATTTTTTTTTTCTAAATGCAGTGTCTTGAGATATATACTTGTTGATACATACAGATCAAGTTAATACCTTCTGAAGAGTAGTTCTTTTTTTTTTTTTAAAGATTTTATTTTTTTTATTTGATAGAGAGAGATCACAAGTAGGCAGAGAGGCAGGCAGAGAGAGGTGGGGGGAAGCTGGCTCCCTGCTGAGCAGAGAGCCCGATGTGGGGCTCAATCCCAGGACCTGAGATCATGACCTGAACCGAAGGCAGAAACTTTAACCCACTGAGCCACCCAGGTGCCCCTTCCTTTCCTTTTCTTCCTTCCTTCCTTTCTCCCTTCCCATCTGCCTGCCGTTCCTCCTGCTTGTGCTCTCTCTCTGGGTCAAAAACATACATACATACATAAAATATTTTAAAAAATAAATGTTTACTTTTATTTCTATGCACCACAATTTTAGAGGGTCATAGAACTTCGGGGATTCTTAAATTCCTAGCAATATGAAAAGGAGTTAAAGGATTAGGATTTTATGTCTTGAAAAGGGTAGATGAAGCAAGGAAATATTTAAAGGGCTCTTATGGGAGAAAAATACTACTTACTTTTTATTACTTTAGAGGTAAAAGGTCAAGGTATAGAAATTACAAGGAGCATATTTCAAATCAGTTAAAGGCAATGTCTCTACTGTAGAAGGGTGCCAGAAGTCATTGATTTCTAGTATTGTACTATGAAAACAGCCAGCAAAAGGCAGGGCAGAATCAAAACCAAAATGATGGTATAAATAAGCTTACTTATCCTTAATAGAGACAAAGGATACAAATCTATCCAACTCCCCCAAGATTGGCAATGGAAGGAGAACATTCCATAATGGGAGAATCACCTGTACCCTATGAATCTCTCACTGTGGTTCTATCTATGTTTAACGAGCAAGACTATCCTTTGATGGCTTGCAGCATAGCAGAGAGGCAACAGGGACATTTAACTAAACTTTAATACATGCTCAGAGTAATAAACGAAACACCAACAGTTGTGTGAACCTGGACCATCTGGCCCCCCTGGCCTGACTCCATATGGTGACAGCTTTCTTAGCCCCTAGCCACCGGGAGCACATATAGACATCCTAGCCCCTCAAACAAAACGTGGAATCTGCAGAGTGAGGGCAGATTTCTCCCAGCATGGTCAGGCTTCATTCCCTGCATGAGAGCCCTTCTTTTCCTCAGATGTTTAACACCCAAGTCACCGTCCCTTTAAGGGACGTTGTTGCCTGACGAGGGACTAGCGTCCTTGTCAGCCTCAGCTAGTAACTACATCAGAATGTAACACAATCAGTTTGGTATTTATAAGAGATATACAGAAGTACTGGTTTGCATGTGTTGGCTGAGTGGTGAGACAGTGAAGCCGTTGTTTTTGTGACTTGGGGTCAAATAATTAGAAATACATCCAAACCTCTACCGGCTAATCTGCCAACATCCCACTGTCCTCGGTTGTTCTAATTTTCAATTCTTCATGCTTTTATCGGAACATTGTCTGTAGCTTTCTATATTGTTAGCCTCTGCTAGCTCATGTCTTGCACCTTCTTGGAAAAATAGTCCCCTGAGAGTCTTTGCTGCAAGTGCCTCAGTAATGGACTATAAAATTAGATACCAGCTCCCTGGGGAGATGGCAAAGAAGAAGTCTTCCTCCCTCTGCTAGCATTACACTAATCACCTTACTATAGA